GTAGACATTAGGGTGGTAGCATTAGCATGCTAACAAGCTAAACTAAGTTGGTGAACATTATATGTGCTGAGCATTAGCATGTTAGCATTTGGCTTCACAGTCTAATCGTCTAATCGTCTAATCTTTATTCATGAATTACTGGATTATTTAACACTTTCAGAGAAGTAAAAAGTATTCAAATAAAACATGTAACTCTCTGGTTAACTGAATGACCCTCAGAGACATTTTTTTAAGGTGAAATAAGCCAGAGAGTCAAGTTATTTAAGAATATTTTTAATAGTAAAAGCACCTTTTAAAAGAATCCAATGAAAGCCTGTCACAATACTGAAAGCACCACCACAATCACATGTGCACCCTCGTGGTCCGAGCAGGGACCAGGTACCGCCACCACAGGTGAGTGCTCTCCAACAACCCGCAGGGGGAGGAGCCACAGTCTGCCGCCATGATGGAGGTCTGGATCTGCGGGCTCCTCTTCACGCTCCCGCCATCTGTACGTCTCGTTCTGTCGCCATGGAGGCCGTGGTCGGTGTCCGGGATGAGCCGTCCGAGTCGCCCTGGATCAGAGGAGGAAACGGGTCACAGTCTGGTTCTGGTTCAGTGAAGACACTTTACTGTACCGGAGTCAGTGCTGCTGACAAACACTGCATGTATACAGTATATACATATACACACATACACATATATATATATATATACACATATATACATATACACATATACACACATACATATATATATATATATATACATATACATTCATATTTTATTATGTTATTCTTGCTAGCAGCCCTGACTCCACTCAATCTCTAAAACAAACCTTTTGACCCAAACATTCTAAAAGTTCAGAAATGTTCAAAACCTCATTCACAAATTGTCCAATTTAAAGTTTGCAGTGAATCATTAAAGATCTACGATGAGTCAGCAGCTTCACTGAGCACAAAGCAAAGCGTCACGGTGAGCAAAGAGTTAAACTTCTTGGTGCTGGTTGGTCGTGTCCACAGAGGGTCGGGCATGAAAGGATCACGTGTCACCGTTAGAGTGAGAGATCCCTAAAGGAAACTGGCTGGTTGTGTTTACGCACAGAGCGCTTTAGATGACGCAACAGCTCCTCCACCAACAAGCCGCTCTGTATAGTGAGCTCACGTGCACAGAGAGGAGCATCACACCAGCTCACCTTCACCTCTCACTCCTTGGCTTTCTTCTCCGTGTTCTGGAGCTTCTCCACGATCTTGCGCTCGTGTCCGGACGGGTTGTGTCGGTTGGTGTTGTCGCTGGCCTCCTTCTTTGTGCGTCCTTTACGGGCCGAGCCTTCTGTGGAGAGGAACACACTTAAACTCTAGTTTAATAAAGCAACATGAGAGATGTGTGTGGAGTTCTGTGAGTGGAGTCAGAGAGAGAAGGACGAGTGACTCACCTGTGTATTTATCCGTCAGGTTATAATATTCATACTGGTCATAATGCTCGTCTTCAAAGCTCGACGGCTTCAGGTTCTTCACGTCCACGTGACTCATGATGTAATAAAATGTTTAAATGTTAAAAACTCAAAAACCTGTTTCTGTCTTCAGTCTGAGCAGAAAACAACAAGATGTTCAGTCCGGAATGTTCCGTGTGTTTTTATAACGGAGACACTGAGCTCCTCCTCCTCCACACACACACACACACACACACACACACAGTGAGTGTGAGTGTGTGTCTCTCTGCGTGTGAGTGTGTGTGTGTGTGTGTGTTGTCAAACACCTCGTGGCTGTTCCATCTAAACAGACTTTGGACTCAGAGAGTAAAAGAGAAACACGTTGACGTTGAGAATAAAGTGAAAAATGAAGAGAAACATAAACTTATTGATTATAGAAAGAATAGAAACCCTTTTTATTGTCATATACATATACACATACACGAAATTTGATTATGTGATGAATGTATATATTTATATATATATATTTATATATATTCATGTTTAGCTTCCTGGTGCAGCTGTAAACACAAACATTGTTTCCAACAACATGAAGGAAACATGACGTCATGTTCTGAATTTAAACATAATTACAGGTCGTCACATCCTCTCATGTACACTTTTACTGCAGCGGGGTTGTACTTCCTGTATTCAAACCTTTAGTTAAAGTAAAGAAAAGAGTTGAGTTCACAGAAGATGAAATAAGAATGTTCATATTTATGAGGTTTTAACAAGCTTCTTGTTTCCTCTGAGCTCAGTCAGCTGTTTTCAACTCATGTTGTTGTCTCCTCCTCCTCCCTCTCCTCCTCCTCCTCCTCCCTCTATTCCTCCTC